GTGGAGTTCTGCCCCTCCCCTGCCCCTCGCCTCTCCCCAGCCCTTCTCATCAGCACACAGCAAGCGTCTTGGGCAGGACAGCGCTGCATAGAGCTCTATGTCAAGGGCTAGTGTGGCCGGGGGACTCTTCCTGCATAGATTGAAGCTGTTTGCTTCAGAGCAAACTCTCTCCTCACTGACTCCAGTGTCCTGAGGGAATGAGGACTGCTGTTATCCTTTGTCATACTCCACTCTTCAGGACCACCACCCCCCACCCGCCACAATAAGAGTGCAAGACACTGACCACACTACATATTTTGATTACAGGTAGGCTTGTCAATAATCAACATTTACATAAAAACAATTAACAAAATACACCAGTGTGAAATTTCTTTTTCAAATGCCCTACAAAAACAAGTATTTTAAAAGTCAACCAAGTGGCAAAGTCCACCCGCTGTGCTGAGGGCCTATTGAGTCCCTCTTATTTCTAGCAACTCAGCTGGTCTCTCAATGCCCCCAGGAGCATGGAGGCAGAGAACATTCTGTAATGTCAACACTGGGACATGGCAACAATAAAATAAAAATGGGAAAAGTTTAGCTTCATAAGGATTAAAGGAATACAAATAACTATAAAGTTTCATTAACTATTCCCGATAAATTGACAAAATCAAGTTCACAGTGGTAGACAGCTGATTCTCAGTGGAAAAGGACAAAGGATCCGTCAGACATATCTGGTGATACTATAAATCAGCTTAACCTTTGATGCGACACAGTCATGCAAAATGTGACAACCATAAAATTCTGACCCAGCAATTCCACTTTTGAAAAAACAGCCCCAAAGAGACAGGACAAAGGTGAGAAAAGATAAATGGGTATTGCATTGCACTGTATACTAGGAGGACTTTAAACGAATCCTATCGACCAAGGGATGCCTTAGCAAACCACACCATGCCAGCATGCCATGGGGTTCTTCGTGGACGTTCAAAATGCTTTGCTCATGCATGAATTTTTATATATGAAATAACTGAAAGTAAAGGGAGAACATAATGTATTCAGTATGATTTGCAATTAGCTGAAAATGTGTACAGGTGCACACAGATCACGTCAGGAGTTAATTAAGCATGACAAATAATTGCTATTTAAAACTCTTGGGATTATTGTTGTAAAGTTGAATTTAAAACAAATTTTAAATTAGAAAAAAGAGGGGACACCTAGAGGTGAGTCTCACCCATGCGAATGCTGTGTGTGGATCTAGAAGGCAGAAGGTAGTTCAGGCCACGACTTCTCAGCCTCAGCTGACGTTTCTGCCAGATAATTCTTTGTCGTGAGGGCTGTTCTGTGCATTGTAAGATAATTTCCAGCATTGCCGGCCTCTACCCACTAGATGCCAGTAGCACCTTCCCAGTAGTGACAATCAAAAATATCTCCAGGCATCACCAAATGCCTGAGGTTTGGCGGCTGGGGGTCAAAATCACTCCCGTTGAAAAACCACTGGTGTAAGCCACCAACTCTCAGCCTTAGCTATGGGAAGGGGACAGGAATTTAGGAGGGCTGGTGGGAAACCAGTGTGTGTGGGCCCTTCAAAGAAGGCAGTCCCTATTTGGTCGGAAATTCAGAATGACATATCCTGATTTCTTTTTAATCTGCAGCTAATTTCAAAGTTGAAACACAGTGGCAGTCTGAGTTTCACGTCTGTGGGTTGCGGTAGGTGTCCACCGTACCCCACAAAAAATTGTCCACAAATTTTTTCTGCAAAGGATAAATGTTTTCGGCTTTGTGGGAAAAACTCTGTTGAAACTACTCAACCCTGCCTTTGTAGGGGCAAGCCGCCACAGGGAACAGGTCAACGATGGGCATGGCTGTGTTCCAATGATACTTTGTCAACACTAAAATGTGAATTTCATGGACTCCTCTTGTCACAAAATGTTATTCTTTTTGTTTTCAACCATCTAAACGGGTCATTGTGGCTTTTAGTTCATGAACCTACAGAAACAGGGCCTGGCTGTGGCCTGTGGGCCAGTGCCTGGGCGGCAGGGTGCCTCCTGCAGCAGGAGTAACTAGGGGCATGCGGGAAATGGGGACAGAATGAGACTGGGGTGGACTGGCCAGCACAGGCTTTCCTTGCACCCGGAGCATCAGCAGAGTGGCCGGAGGGATCCATGCTGGGGGCCTCTCCTTTTTCATCACTCCCCATCTCCTGCCTCCTCCAGACCCTTGCATGCTGTTTTCACACCGCTGCGTCCCAAGACACCAGAAGGAACTTGTGGTCTTTTTATTTAAGCCACAGATTGGCTTCTCTGTCATTCTTCAAAAATTTTCTGCTCTTACTGTTAAAGAAAGGCCACTAACCTAGCTGTCTGCATGGATCCCAGGGACTCAGAAAACTGGTTAACAGGAATTTTATCCATTTTTAATGACCTTGCTAAAACACAAGTCTTCCTGTTTGTGTCCTCACAATGTCTCTGACAGTAAACAGGGAAAACACAGATGCCCTTCTCCAGTCACAGAGGCAGTCCCGGGTGCCCAGAGCTGGGACAATTGGTGACTCAATCCAGGAGAGGAAGAAACCAGCGCTCTGAACTCTGAGGCTCGCATCCTGTGAATCTGCTCAAGAGAGCTAAGTGTGTGGCCCACCAGTGCGTTTTGGGGACTCACAGAAACAGCTCCTCCCATCTAGAGAGAAACAGAGACACCACCTTCCCACCCCTCAAAGGTAATAAAACCATGGAAAATGATCAAAGGAGGCTGATGGAAGGGGAGAAAGGAATGAAGAGAAACAAGAAAAACAATAGGAAGTGTTAAAAGATGAGAAGCTCTGGCAGTGGGGGAACAAAGCAGAAGATAGGGGCAAGAGGAGAGAAAGGAAGAAGAAATGAAACAGGAAGGCCTGGGTGGGGATTTGCAAATTGTCCAGCAGGAGACGCTTCCGGCTTTGATGATGAAGGAGCAGAGGCCAGAGGGCAACGTACTTATCTCTGGAATCCACTCACAGGAGCCACTGGGGATCCATTTTCTCTCCCATCAAATTGTTAGATTTTAGGTTCAAAAGCATCTACATCCAGGTGTGAGACAGACAAGTTTGTGAAAACTAATTCCAGGCTCTCTTCTCACCCACCTCCCACAGAATTTGAGAAAATTCCCCCAACTACGGGTGGGCAGGAGGGTTGAAAGAACAGCTGTGGGAGTACCTGTGCCCTCCCCCATCCTCGGACCAAGACAGGAGGCAAGGCTAGAATCTCCCCGTATGTTCACGAATCCGAAGGTGGGGTTGCCAAAGGCTCCATCTGGAACTCTGGGGACAGTGGGCTCACAGAAGAGCCCACACCACAGAAGGGGTGGCGAGCAGGGAGAGCAGACATCAGGGGCGGTGTGAGAATAGGACGCATCCCTTTTGTTTGGTCCCTTCCTACACTTGGACCTGAGTGCAGGACAAAGCGTCAGGGGCATTGCCCTAGCGTCCTATTCCCCAGTACCCTGCCTAGGGCCTCCCTCATTCCTTGCTGTACCAGAAGTCAGTGTTCTGTAAACCGCAGTACCGAGTCCTGGGTGGGGTGGTTGGGGGATGGCTGCAGCCGCTGGAGATGTTAATGAGGACGGAGCTTTGAGAGAGCAATCACACCTTCCTGTACCCATAGCAACGAGGCAGCAATTGGCTAAGGTGAATGGCAGGTGACCCAACGGGGACAGGAGGGACCATAGTAAATACACGAGGCCAGAGTCAAAACCACAGCTGGACAAATACATGACCCAGAGGACTCCACTGAGTGACCAACTGCCCGACAGATGCTGCGCCATTGAACATCCTCGGCACTCAGAGCCAGTCCCAGGCAGGACACGGGAGGGCAAAACCCCAAATGTGACTGAGTCACAAACCTAAGACAACTCCGAAATCATCATACTGGGCTGAGGTTACTTTGAAGTTTCAGGTTTCAGGCTAGCAATTAGTTTTAGGAAAGTAAAGTGATGTTTTGCACACCTGAGTGGGTGGCTTGCGAAGTTCATGCCTGCAATCCTAGTACTGATTCCTCACACTCGCCTAGAAAAAATACCATCAGCCTTCCTGGCTGGCAAGTGCTGGGTTCACTGCACCTTGGGCCAGTCACTCATTGTCTCGCCTGCCCTGATCTCACCGGGCTCCTAGTGACCTCCCACAAAGGTCAAGGGAGTCACAGCTGACTCTGTCACTGTAGTTACAGGAGGAGCCCAGTATCATCTCAGTGCTGAAGCCAGCAATCCACACTTTCGTGAAAGGCTCCACTAATAGTCACAAGCTCTGTGCTCAGCTAGAGCGAAGGAGAAGAAGTCCTCCTGCTGGGGTTGCAAAGCTGCTAAGCATTGCATATTCCCAGGCCCTGCCCTGCTGCATCCAGGAAGAGGCCTTTTAAGGATATGTTCAGTAAGCATTCCTGGGCTCTGAGCCAGTATGAGGGGCCAGCGTCCCCTCATACTGACAACCACTGCAATGTCAGGTGCCTTTCTGCTCCCAGGCTGGGTGCTGAATAGAAGGGCAGTGGCAGCTGGGAAGTAGCCCCTGGAGACTGGACAGAGCTGTGCCCGGCAGCGTGCATTCCCCAGGGCCCTCCCCATTCCTTGATTTTTTAGTAGTCAATGCACTCTAAATTGGAGGTGAGGATTCTCAGGTGTGGTGTTGCTACAGACACTTGAGATCTAAGAGGATGTGAGGAGCCTCAGGCACCCCCTTAGGAAGGTCCACTCCACCTCCAGCCCCAACTGTGGGGAGAGAGGAAGGCTTCAGGGCTACCTCGTAGGGGAAGCCCAGAGCCCAAACCACCCAAAAGCCAACAAAACAGCTGTCCTCTGGCAGCAGGGAAAGGCCTCTGGAACTCTGAGGCGTAGCCCCAGCAAAGGCTGGTACCATGACCCAATTCCTAGGAGAACAGGTATGTCCACCTTGGGGGTCCTTTGGGCTCAGAACCTGGGCCCTTCCTCCAAAGCCAATCTGTCAGGAGGCACAGCTTCTGTGAGAGCTTGGTATCCGAACAAAAGAAAAGAGATTGCTGTTCCTTTCCAAAACTTGGGCTTATCACCATCGCTTCTTCCCAGCACAAGGTCACACCTGTGCCGACCAAGTTCAACTGGCAGCTCAAGGGCAGGGGAGACTTGAACCCAGGCAGGATGTGGCGGGGCCAAGCAAGCGCTGCATGCTGAGTCTTGACATCTTCTCTGGCAAGGGCCATCCACACTGAGGCCCTGAGGGTCTCATGCTATGGTCGCATTTAGACTTCTCCTTTGGTGTGCTCTGGAAGTTTTTGAGACACAAGAAATTCCCTGGTTGTCACTGAATTTTTCAAATACGGATTTGGGGCCGCTGCCTCCCACACATGGTCTGGTGCTAGACTTTCTAGACTTTGACCAGAAACAAGAAGCTGCTCTTCGGCTTCTAGGCAGGTCCCTTCTGGCATCCTCGAACGTAGGTATTGGGATTTTCTGGGAGGAATCTCAGGTGAAACTGGGAGCTCCTCAAAACTTTTCCCCAGGGGACAGTCAGGCCTGAAGGGGTGGGTCACGTACTCATTCTTTTCCCCTCCTAAATTGTTTTCCTGACCCGTTCTGGCTTCATCTGTGAACATTTCTTCCAGAACATTCCCAAAGTTCACCACCGACTTGTCAATAACCAACTTGTCACTGGGGGTGGAACATGGTTTTAAGATCCTGTCTTCTGTGTTCACAGAGTCATCAGACTCCTTCAGGTTTAGCTTATCCTGGCAAAGAAAAAGGGACATCCCAAGTAGTCATTTAGAAGTCACACATAACATAGCCAAAAACTTGTTAGGCTTGGGACAGCAAATGCCCACCTCCGGAACAGCCCCCACCTTCCTCCCAGGCCCAGAAGTGGTGCCCAACCCTCTCCATATGCCCTTCCACAGAGCTTGGAAGGAGTGGCACAGTTCCTGAGAAACAGTGCCCTGAATTCAAACAATGTTTTAAATATATTTTTATATATGTATATAATTTTTTTTTAAATTTGAGATAGGGTCTCACTCCCGTTGCCCAGGCTGGAGTGCAGTAGCATGATCACCACTCACTGCAGCCTCAACTTCCCAGCCTTGGGTAATTCTCTCCCATCAGCCTCCTGAGTTGCTGGGGCTACAGACGCACACCACCACACCTGGCTAATTTTTTTATTTTTTGTAGAGATGGGGTTTTGTCATGTTGCCCAAGCTGGTCTTGAACTCCTGAGCTCAAGTTATCTGCTGCCTTGGCCTCCCAAAGTGCTGGGATTATGGGCATGAGCCGCCGCACCCAGCCAATTCAAACAATGTATTCTGCTAGAGTGTGCAAGGCTGTTTTCCACATCATCCCATGCTCACAAAACCCCAGTTAAGATGGAAGCACCAAAATTACAACTCTTAGGGATGGAAAAACCACATCATAGAGTCAGACTTGTTCAACCTCACCAGAATATCAGAGGTGGCCTCATGGCAGGGACAGTGACTCTGTCATTTGTATCCCTAGGGCCTAGCCCAGTGCCTGGCATGTAGTGAGTGATTAATAAGTGCTGACTCTAGAGGCCCAACCTGCAGATTATTCAAAAAGCATGTTAGTTATCAGAGAGCACTGCCTATGAATCCGTTTACTCTCTAAATGACATTAAATAAGCAGGAAAGTAAATGGTATAAATCAGTCCAGTATACCGGACTGGTAAGAGGAGGACATAGAAAGAAAGCCCATTATAACAAAATGCCCATGCTCAAAAAAGACTTCTGAGTTGGAACAAGGACTAATATTTAAAATTTGTGCATCAAGGAAAAACTGGAAACAGCCTTTCAGTAGTAAGGATTTAAAGGTTATATTTGATTGGGCTTGTTTCTACGTAAGCAAGAAATTAAACCTTAAAATTTCCCTAACAGTTTTCCACTTAAAAATTTATGAAAATGGAGGGTTTCTAGTTAAGGAATACTCACTAGAAAACCCCAGTGCCAGTTAAATAAAGCCAAAGCCTGACTCTGATGTCCCCAACCTGAGAAAAACAACATGAGGCAGCCTCAGACTGCCATGCCCACCAGCATTCCCTGGTGATATTTAGGCAGTCTTTAGAGTAATGTGCTCTTGGCTGCTTTGTAAATGGTTTCAAATCCTATAGCCAGGCCTCGTCTCTCTCTCTAGCCCATCGGGTACGGAAGGGTAGGGCCAATGTCTTTATTCTGCAGCATCCTTTATGGGACCAGTTCCACCTGGGAACACACTGGGTCCTCACGAGCCTGGTGAAGCCCTTTCCTCTTGTCAAAGCCTGAGGTCAAAGTCGTTCCAGGAAGGCTGATTCCATCTGCCCCGCCTGCCATTCCCTGAGACTTTTCAACTCGAGTTCTCTTGATGTGAACCTCCATAAAAGCTCAGCCTAGGACTCTTCCCCATCTCCATTCACCTTGTCTACCTCCCACGACGATGATTTCCTTAATAAAAACAGAAGAGTTTACCTTGAAATCATCTCCACGCCATGTGGCTATACTACTTTCAGCAGGGTTGGGAACACTGGGCCAACACAGGTGAGTCAATTTGCTAATGAGAGAGAAGATTTTAAGATGGGAGGTGAATCCAAGAAGCATTAGCACCGTACGGCTGAGTCAAAAGAGTGAGGCTGTGCTAAAGGGAATTGTAAGTTTCCCTCCTAAATAAGGGCATGTCTGCCTGATAGAATCTGGGAAAGTGGAGTTGTTCTGCGTTGTGTGCTGGGGAGTGACATTGCAAGTTCTCTGTGGGATGTGATCAAAGGAGACTCCCCATACAAAGCTTATCTTCCCCTCTCTCCCATCCGGGCATCTCCATACCTACCCCAATGCTGTAAATTGCACCATCACAGAGTCATTCCTTTGAGGCTTATCCTCTGGGAAGGACAAGTTTATAAGGTTTTACAAACCTTATAAGCTACCCACACTTTCCTGCAATGGTTCTCGAAGTGTGGTCCCAAGCAGCAGCAGCAGCAGCATCACCTGGGAACTTGTTAGAAATGCAAATTTGGGGCTTTACCCTAGAACCACTGAATCAGAAACTCTGGGGATGAGGCCTGATTCTGATGCATGCTAAGATCAAAATGATTACTTAAGTGTATAATGTACAAGCATCTATGCTGGTGGCTTGGTTACCACCTACAGTTGGTAACTGAGGTTGATATTAGCTTAACTAAGTGCAGCTGCTTGACAGAGATGACTCACAGCTGTCTAATTTGGAGCTCAACCAGGGAAGGACCATTAGGATGCCATAAAGCTCACTGCAGAGAGAAAGTGTAAGACCCTGAAGATGTGCTTTCTTCCCCACAGTGGCCAGGGCAAGCAGGGCAAAGGCCCCTGCACCCAGACCCTCACTGCACTGCAAGCAAGCAACAAGCTTGCACCTGCAGACGACTGGCCAGCACCCCAACACCATGGAGACACTGCTCCCTGCTCTGCCTGAGACAGAAGCTTGCAAGAAGGCCTCCTGCTGCAGCCGGGGCCCCGCTAGACACTGAGAGAAAGGGCCTGCTCTCCAACTCCAGTCTCAGATGGCAAATGGAGCAGACAGAGTCTGTGGGGCAGCTGGCACTCTCCTGGCCTCAAAAAGGCCTAGACCTGGGCATGGAGCTCTGGGAAACGAAAGTGCTTTTGCTTGGTAAGAATTCTGATGAGCCACTGAGCGTGGCCTTTAATAACCTCCATAAATATGCACCAAGTTAATAAATGAATGAACACCCCTTAATGGTAGAGTGCCCTCTCCTACGAAGCACCTATGATGACTTCAACCCCTTTTTGTCCCTGATTTTTAAGGCACCCACTGTTGTCTGCAGACTCACTTGGGTTTTTTGAGACCATATGCCACCGTCAGGATAATGAGAATAAGAAGGCCTCCACCAATCAGAGAAGTTATAAGGATAATCTCAAAAACACCTTTGAAAAAGAAAGAACAAAAGTCAGTAGTGAGTTCCTCACCTCCTTTACAAAAATCAATGATTAACTTTTTCTTCTAGTAGCTTCAGCAACACAATTTCTTATTAGTTTTCTTTCAATTAAATTCCATTTCTTTCCACTAAAAAGCCCCCAGGTCAGGAGTTTGAGACCAGCCTGGTCAACATGGTGAAACTCCGTCTCTACTAAAGATACAAAAAATGAGCTGGGTGTGGTAGAATGCACCTGTAATCCCAGCTACTCAGGAGGCTGAGGCAGGAGAATCGCCTGAACCTGGGAGGTGGAGGTTGCAGTGAGCCGAGATCGTGCCATTGCACTCTAGCCTGGGCGACAGGGCTAAACTTCATCTCAAAAACAAAAACAAAAACAAAACACAGAATTTTGTGGCTCCCCATCGAGGCATCTTCTCCTGGCAGCATTCATTCCAACAGCATTCATTCAGTGAATATTTATTGAGCACTTACTTTTTAATTTTTATATATATTTTTTGAGATGGGTCTTGCTCTGTCGCCCAGGCTGGAGTGTACTGGCATGATCATAGCTCACTGTAGCCTCAAACTCCTGGACTCAAGCAACCTCCTGCCTCAGCCTCCCAAGTATCTAGGACTTGCAGGTGCAAGCTATCAATCATGCCCAGCTAATTTTTAGGTGTTTTTTTTTTTTTTTAGAAGGAGTCTCACTCTGTCACCCAGGTTGGAGTGCAGTGGTACATCCTGGCTCACTGCAACCTCCGCCTCCTGGGTTCAAGCGATTCTCCTGCCCCAGCCTCCCTGGTAGCTTGGATTACAGGTGCCTGCCACCAAGCCCGGCTAATTTTTGTATTTTAGGTAGAGACTGGGTTTCACCATGTTGGCCAGGCTGGTCTTGAACTCCTGGCCTTGAGTGATCCTCCTGCCTTGGCCTCCCAAAGTGCTGGAGTTACAGGCATGAGCCACTGTGTCCAGACAGCAACTTTAGCTAAGGTGTCCAAGGAAGGAGTACAATTCAAGCTGATCTTAATAGTGAGAAGGATCCAGCCATGTAAAACCATGGAGAAAAGCATTCCAGGCAGAAGAAACAGTGGATGCAAAAGCTTTGAAGCAGGAACAAGGTAAGGAAGATAAATTGGGGCAGAAAGCAGTAGGAAAAATGAGGTCAGTAAGGGACAGATGATGAAAGACCTTGAAAGTTATAGGAAGGAGTTTGGATGTTCTTTAAAATATAATAAAAGTCACTGGTGGCTTTTAAGCAGAGAATTCAGGGTTTGAAACTCTGGCTGCTGTGTGGAAAATGGATTATAGATTATCAAAAACGGAAGCAGGGTGATTTATAATCTATAGACCAGGGTAGGAAAATTCTAGGTTCCAGGGCTGGATCTTGCTTTCATTTAATTCTTGGAGAAAACTCCTTGAGCTGATGAAATTTGTGCCCAGTGTTGCAAAACTTCAATATAGCTTTAAAAAATTTTAAACAGCATATCAAAAAGAGTTCCTAGAAGGCAATGTTAGTCCATCAAAACAGAATATGTTTTCTCTGTAAAAAAAAAAAAGTCATACTCACATTTTCCAGAGTCATAAAGCAATTTTGTTCTTGAAAAATGTGATGCATAAGAGGCTTTCAAGAATATTTCAAGCAATTTTTAGCTTGCCTCAGTTATTGCAAAAACTTGGCAGTGTCCCTTCACTTTTGATCTAAAAAGTTGTTCATTCTTTAAGACAGTTTTAGTATGTACTTAAAAATCAAATCTCTGTCACTCAAGGACTTAGCAAAATTAACATATTTCTCTTTCTCCCATTCTCCTTCCTACTTTCTGCTTCATCCCCCTCCTCATTCCATCTGCCTTCCTCTCAAATATCTCCCTTAACCAGCCATCATATGAAGCTACATTTTATTTTACATTATTTGTTGTCTGTAGTAAATTTTTCTTGCTATTTTTTAAAGTAAAAGTGGGTAAGTTAAATATATCATATGCCTTTTTGCTCAAAAAAAAGCCTCCACAAATGATGAGGTTAAGCCCCTTCCTATGGGTCAGTGGTCCTGTGTTAAACAAGGTTTTCCCTTGAAGGCCCTGTTGTACAGTGATACGGTTTGGCTGTGTCCCCACCCAAATCTCATCTTGAATTATAGCTCCCACAATTCCCACATGTTGTGGGAGGGACCCAGTGGGAGATAACTGAATCATGGGGGCAATTTCCCCCATACTGTTCTCATGGTACTGAATAAATCTCATGAGATCTGATGGCTTTATACGGAGAAACCACTTTCACTTGGTCCTCATTCTCTCTTGTCTGCCACCATGTAAGATGTACATTTCGCCTTCCACCATGATTGTGAGGCTTCCCCAGCCACGTGGAACCGTGAGTCCATTAAACCTCTTTTTCTTTACTAATTACCCAGTCTCGGGTATGTCTTTATCAGCAGCATGAAAACAGACTAATACATACCGTAACCTATGACATGCAGAAACTGGTGACTGTGAACGGGGAGCTGGTTTGGTGCTAGGACTGAAGTTGGCATTAATTTGACACCTCCTCCTCCAGATGATTTGTGGCTGCCCAAGAGGAACGACCAAAATGACCAGCATTTCCAAATTCAGCTCTCAACTCGCTTGCTCTCTCCCTCCCATCTCCTCACCTATGTGCTTTCCCGGAAGGTTGGTGAGCCGGAGAGCAGGGTGGCTCTTTTCACCTAGGCACTGCCCTTTCATTTGACTTCCTCCAGCCTTTGGCAGATGTCATTTCTCTCTGATATAAGGTGAACGTGAGGGAGAGGTACTTAAGGCTTGAAGGAGATACTCACTGAATGACAATGTCTTGAAATTTATGCTGGTCCCGTTGATTCCCCCAGCACTGGTGCTGGCCATGACCTGAACAGTGTAAGAGGTCTTTCGTTTCAGGGACTCCAGGCCATACTGCAAGATGCTGGAGTTGACTGTCTTGGCTAAGCAAAAATACAGAGATCAAACACCACAGTCAAACCAGACTGAAAACTGTGTCCCAGTAGCACCAAAATAAGAACATTGGAACCTGTGCTTCCAAGCTCAGCTGTCTCATATTCTGACCCCTATTCATGTCCTGCTTAAATATCAAGATGGACCAAGGAGCTCAATATAAGAGCTAGAACTATAAAAACTCTTAGTAGATAGCATAGGATAAATCTTCATGACCTTGAATTTCACAATGGTTTCTTAGATATGACGCCAAAAGCACAAGCAGCAAAAGAAAAAAATAGGTTAAGCTGGATTTCACTAAAATTCAAAGTTTTTGTGCATCAAAAGATAATATCGAGAATGAAAAGACAACCCATAGAACAGGAGAAAATATTTACAAATCATATATCTGATAAATAACTTACATCTAAAATATATAAAGAACTCTTATAAACTCAATAACGAAAAGACAACCCAATTTAAACATAAGAAAAAAGATTAAAAAGACACTTCTCCAAAGAAGATATATAAATGGGCTGGCCGGGCGCAGTGGCTCACGCCTGTGATCCCAGCATTTTGGGAGGCCGGAGCAGGCAGATCACCCGAGGTAGGGAGTTTGAGACCAGCTTGACCAACATGGGGAAACCCCGTCTCCACTAAAAATACAAAATTAGCTGGACGTGGTGGTGCATGCCTGGAATCCCAGCTACTTGGGAGGCTGAGGCAGGAGAATTGCTTGAACCTGGGAGGCGGAGGTTGCGGTGAGTCAAGATCGTGCCATTGCACTCCAGTCTGGGCAACAAGAGCAAAACTCCATCTCAAAAAAAAAAAAAAAAAAAAACATACAAATAGGCAAAAACTACATGAAAAAATGCCCAACATTATTAGCCAGTAGGGAAATGCAGGTCAACAAGATAACCACTACATACCTACCAGGACAGCCATAATAATTTTTTTAAATGAAAAATAACACGTATTGACAAGGATGCAGGGAAATGAAAACCCTCATACATTGCTAGTAAGAAATGTGTAGTGTGGAGTAGTCACTGTGGAAAACAGTTTGGTGGCTCCTCAATAAGTTAAACTAGAGTTACCGTATGATCCAGCAATTCAGCTTCTAGGTATATGCCCAAAAGAATGAAAAGCACAAACTCAAACAGATATTTGTACATAGCAGCATATGTTCGTAGCAGACATCTGTTCATAGTAGCCCTATTCACAGTAGCCTAAATTCACAGTAGCCACTAAATTGTATACTTTCAAATGTTTAAACTGGAAAAATATTTTACATGTATTTTACCATAAGAAAAAATTATTTAGCCTCAGCAAGAATCCAAGCCTTGCCCAGTATTTAAGATGTCAGGAGATACAGTGGACTGAAGAACAAAAGCATGATTTGGCAGGGGCAGTAGAAGTCATGGTGACAGGGTCTGTTCCTCCTCACTTTTTAAGCCAGGCACGCCATTCCTGGGAATGATGGTCGGGGAGCTCCCGGGAGGTCAACGCAGGGCCCAACCAGGACAAATTATATCAACTCCTTCCATTCCCACAGGACTGTCCTCTCAGGTACTGTCACTTCACTCTCATTTAATCCCCAAAACCCCAAAAGGCAGGTACTCTTGGCCCCATTTTCAGAGAGACTTAAAGAAGCTAAGTGACTCATGCCAGGTTGCAGGTCACAATGAGGTGGGAGAGCCATGCCTATGACAGATTTATCCATAGCATCTATCTGGGGCTTGGGGTTTTTTCCCACTTGGCTACGGGTGCGCTTACAGAATCCTTTTCCGCCTTCAGCTTGGTAAAAGATGGTGTAGTTGCAGATGATACCCTTTCTCTCACTCTTGGGAATCTCTTTCCATGTGATCGTGACCGTCTTCACGCCAATGTTCTCCACCTTGGTCTCAGGACCTTTTGATGGAACTGGAAGGGACGGGGGATAAATAATAATCACTGACCACACTCCAGGAGATCGTTCCCCCTACAAAGGCTCTGGCCAGTACTCAGACCAGACCACAGTGCGGGAGGCGAGGGGCGAGGGTTCGGTAAGGAACTGATGAATCAGCTTGTTTGGGAAAATTATTTTCTAGAGCCATCTCTCTTAAGCAAGAAGAGAAGTGGCATCAAGACCACTTGAAAAAGTCCTTTCTTATAGATGGCTCACTCCAATTTGGTACCCAGCTTTTTCATTCATATCTGTAAAGTGTAGTTATTATCAAACAGTTGAAGAATATGGATCCATAAGCTACCTCTGAGTGGCAGAAGATATTTTCCAATGTTGAATCTGGAAGACATGAACTTCCAAAAAGATAAAAGTAAAGCTTGAGCAATTCACCAGTAAAGCCCTTGCTTATTGCTACATAATTAAAAATAATTTTTTAACATCCTAGCTTAGGATGAACTCTGTAGGCTCCCTGATGTGGTCTTAATTCAGTGTTATTGCTGGTAGCAGCTCTATTTGCACTGTTTATTTGTGACTTTGGGCAAGTTATTTCACCTCTCTGAGCTTTAATTTTCCATTTGTGAAATGAGGGGATTGGACTCAATGATCTCTAATGTCTACCCCAGCTTCAGAATTCAGCAAGTTCATAACATTCAGAGCCCACTACAAGATGAAGCACAAATGAGCCCTAAGATGGCTCGGAATGAGCTACAGGCACTTGCAGCCTTATTCACATGTTGGACAGGTCCCACTGTTTCCTTTTCCCCACAGGGCCTTGTCCATACATACTGCCTTCTTTGGCATAAGCCTGGATGGAATATGGCTCGCCAACTTTGTCGTGCAACATTGGATACACAGAGATGTTATAGCACCAGAAAGGTTTTAATTTATCTGTAAAAAAGAAAGAAAAAAAAAGCGTAAGTGCAGAGCATGGCAGAGTGGAAAGAATACTAGACTGAGTTATGGCCAAACACTTACGGAAGATATTCAATTTCTCTACAGTTTCCACCTCTGGAAAATAAATAGGTTAGGTTGAATGGTCTCTAATATCTATTGCTTTTCTCAGGTTTTCTAATTAATTCTTATTTTAAAATTTAACTTTTTAGCTTTTCCTTTTTTGGAGGCAGGGAATCCCCAGGTCTGTTCTGACCAAATACTGTTGCAGCAGAGAGATCCACAGGATCGCTGAACACGCTGCCTAATTAAGTCCTAGAACAACATATCATCACCCTGTGGATCTCAAACACTTCGAATTCTATCTCCTCTACTTGCCTGCATCCCTGCGTGTGTATTATTCTTAATATGGATGTTTGAAGCATTAAGAAATGATTGTAGTGACAGGATTAAAAGGGTAAAGCCTCATTAGGGAGGCTGAGGCAAGAGGATCACTTGAGCCCAGGAGTTTGAGGTTACAGTGAGCTATGATCGTGCCACTGCACTCCATCCTTGGCAACCAAGCAAGACCCTGTCTCTAGAAAATAAAAATTCAAACAAAATTAAAAATAAAGAGTAAAGCCTCACTCGCGTATCTTACATAGGGCATGGACTTTCCTGAAAAGAAGGCTATTCTGGTAACAATCACCTGGGAAGGTGGCCTAACTCTTAAATAGGCAACCAGAACTGAAGGAAGTATCCTAGGTAGGCCAGCTGGGATCCACACTCTGGAGTTACCCGTGGGATGACCCAGCTGTCCGGGAAGGGCTCTCTGATGGTGGGTGTTAAGATGGTGTTTTCCACCTGAGGACCGGTCAGATACCTGGTCTGCTTGTCACCCACAGCTTTCTGTGCCAGCCTCACCTTGGAAATACCAAGAAGCGTGTCACTTCATTAAGCTTGCACAAGCTTGCCAAATGCTATTAACCACACTAACAGCTTTGAAGTCAAAGTTAAAGATCTAAAACTGGATGAAAATGAAACTAAACCCTGCACTGAGGGAACCTGTGGGTTCCTCCCTGGCTACCTTGCTGGATCGTCCAGTTCGTGGCCTGAGACACAGATTCCCAGGCAAGAGTGGGGTGCTCTGAGTCCATGTCCGGAAACCATTCAATCATCCAAGTGTTCACGTCTAGAGCAGAGCTTTGCCACTTCACCACTAGCCAGTCCTCAGCAAGGCAGGCCTGCACGACCTCAATGCACCGAAATGCTGAAAGGAGAGAAAAGGACTGCTTCATAGCTACCCACCTCCTTCCCCAAATGCAACAACCACATTGGCATCCTCATTGCCTCAACTGTAAAACAAGGCCAAAGTTCAGGATCTCCATGGCAGCCTCCCCGGATGGCGCTCTTTTCCCTCATCTTATTGCATCCTTTTTCCTTACACAACACCTTTGAGGAGTAAGTGGCTTCTTAATCTTCCTTTACCTACCCCAAATTAACCTGTTTGCAGAAAAGAATCTCACTAGAGAGTTGATGGCTAAAAAGACTTACCTTCCACAGGCGTCTCTGCAAGTCAAACAGAAAGGAAACCTGAGACAGAGAATCTCCAAAGGTAGAATTTCAGGCTCTGGGAATTGTGTGGCTGGGAGGCTGGGAGATGGAGACCCTAAAATCATACCAGGGAGATGGCTTCACGCTTTCACTGTATAGTCTGGTTCTACACAAGCTGGAAATGAATTCCTATCCTCAAGGCAGCAAGTATTGCGTTTGTACCAGAAAGATAAAGACACTGCCATCCAAATTACCCAGTATGGATCAATACATAAATGGCAACATTTTCTGCGGGACTGGCTAAAATAATCTGGAAACAGGTCACAAGGATTTATTTAATAAAAAATTTGAGTGTGTGGCTTCCAATCCAATATCTGGAACTTAATCTGAATCAGAGAGAGATCTTATTGAAAATGTTCGAACACACAGAAAAGAAGAGAACTACTGGAGGTGTAGCGAGGCAGAAAGTGGAAGGTACAAACTGGGCGGGGCTCAGAAATTCCAGGGCATGCTCTCCCCTCACCCAATCCTCACCAGCGTAGCACTCCTCAGCCTGCAAAACTGGAATCCATGGGAAGGGCGTTTCTTTTTCTTTCTTTTTCTTTTTTTTTTTTGAGGCAGAATCTCGCCCTGTCACCCAGGTTGGAGTGCAGTGGTGTGATCTTGGCTCACTGCAACCTCCACCTCCTGGGTTCAAGTGATTCTTGTGCCTCAGCCTCCTGAGTAGCTGGGACTATAGGTGCATGCTAACACACCTGGCTAATTTTTTGTATTTTTAGTAGAGATGGGGTTTCACCATGTTGGCCAGACTGGTCTCAAACTCCTGACCTCAAGTGATCTGCCCAACTCAGTCGGTCTCCCAAAGTGCTGGGATTTCAGGCATGAGCCACTGTGCCCAGCTGGGAAGAGTGTTTCAATGAATGTCAGAGATGATCCTGAATGCAGGCACAAAAGTGTCCTGCAAAAAAAACCCCCAAAAGCCTTTTGAAGCTGGAAGCCAAGGCCACATGTAGGAATCTGGGGTGGGGACCGGGGGTCCTGCATCCTGCTGTTCCTTGGCAACAAACCCCAGCAGGCTGTGTGTATATTTATGAGTCTTGTTCTTGTAAGCCACAGTAGACGGATCCTTTTCCCAAACAGGGCCCTTATGAGACACTCCAGGGGCTAGTCCTAGCAGCAAGGCCAGGTAATTTGTCAACCTGAAAAGGTAACTCCGAGAAGGACAACTGAGGCATGGAGGAAATGTGAAGCCACAGAAGGAGCAGAGGCCGGGGCAAGAAGCACAGAGCCTGGAGATCGACCCCACCTAACCCTAGGGCTCTGAGTTTCTCCTTCCAGCCTTCCCCTGCTCACCACCTGGAAGCCTCCCCAGCCAGTCCTGGCTGAAAGTCCCTGCTGGAGCCTTGGAGATGTAACTAGACTCTTCTAGCAGCCAATGTTGGTGCTCCACCCAGACCCACTCAGCTTCCTTCCTACTGTGTGCATGTGTTTTGCTTGACTGCGATGACTATGAGACGTCATTTACACTCTAGAGTCCCCTGCAAGATCCAGTGGGAACTCCCCTCCCTGGGGCTTTTATCTCAGATTGTACCTGTATGGGTTGAATTGTATCCCCCCAAAGTATATCCCCAGTGCCACAGAATGTGACCATATTTGGAAATAGGCCACTGCAGATGTAATTAGTTAAGACAGCGGGCCCTTTATAAGAAAAGAGGAATCTGGGCATGGAAACAGAGACACACAAGAAGCTAGCCATGTGAAGACTGAAGCAAAGATTGGATTTATGGGACTTACTGGAGCTACCACAAGCTGATGAATACCTGGGGCCACTACAAGCTGGAAGGGGTAAGGAAGGATTCTCCCCTAGAGACTTTAGGGAGCATGGCCAGCCACCACCTTGACTTGGGACTTCTGGCCTCCAGGACCATGAGACAATAAAGTTCTGTTGTTTGAAGCCCCCCAGTCTGCAGTGCTTTGTTTTGGCAGCCCTGAAAGCCCACCTTCGTCTCAGCCTCTGCCGTGTCCTGGCCTGCTTCCGCAGCTTCCTTTTCTCATCTCCCTGGAGGCGTTTTTGTTTTTTTTTTAAATGACTTGCCCACAAATCCTGGCCTGAAGAAGCCAAGATTAAAATAGCTCCATGCTATTTTAAGTGTTGGGAATTAGGTTAAAAAAAAGAAAGGAAAAATCGACAAAAAATCCCTGCCCTCACGACGCTTACATCCTATTGAGGAAGAAAAAGGTCGTAAAATAAATAATTTATAGAATAAGGGATAGCACTGTTTGAAAGAGAAAAATAAGAGAGAAAAAGAGGAAATCTATTGTCTGCAATTCTTTGAATGAAAGTTTTTTTATTCCAAAACAGGATAAATATGAGTTTGCCTGGGAGCAGTAATACGTCAAAAACTACTCAACCAAAAGTGTAATGAACAATTTATTGGCAAGTATAAACACTAGAATTTTTTCACAGTGACAAATGGAAGGGGAAAAGGAAGAAAACAGGACAGCAAGCATTAAACCAAGGATGGGGATGTGGTGAGTCCCCATCTGTGGGGAGAAGAGTTCAAGAGCAGCTTCGGTCATGGAGGACAGATGTGACAAAGAGGACAGTTTCACAGGACTCGACCCAGCTTACATTCACCCAGACCAGAACAAATCAAAGCTGCACACAGAACTTCTAGGCGTATGGCTTTCTATTCTGTAATTTATAAGGTTTCTGATTTTTAACACAGGCTTTGTTCCAAAGGAACATGACTTCAAGTGGTTCATTAATTACCAGCAAATTCTCACTGCTTCACCACCACATAAAAGGCCCCACTCCATTTTCGTTTTGACTCAAGAGAAACAGCCACCCTTGAGAGCCCAGGGACTGCTCCTTGGCCAGTCGATGGGACCAGGCACCTAAGGAAGAAGCTGATGCTCTACTTACACTTTTCCTGAATGGCTGGAATCCTCAGGGTGGTCACTGGAGACTTCCCAAGAGAATTATAAGAAATCATAGACACCCAATAGCTCTCGCCTCCCAGATGCAGTTCAAGCTGCTGGTTAGTGGTGTTCACTGTCTCTGTGAGGTTAGTGTTGTTTTCTGGAAAGTACCATATGTTGTAGCCAAGTGTTTTCTCTAGGACTGGGGCTCCTCTTGCCTTCTGAACCCAAAAACAAAATTTATTGCCAATAACAAAGAAAAAGAAAGGCATTGAGACAGTGAGAAGCAGTGGGGGTGAGGGTGGGGAGTAAGGCTAACTATTAGATACTAAACTACAATGAGGTAATTACCCTCCAGGGATGAATAACACATCCTTGGCTGTGATATTAACCCTTCAAGTGCCAGAAGAGGGGATTTACTAAATTTCGACTAATTCCATGAGGCTAAACTAGAAGAATGCCCAAGACAATGTAAACAAGCCACCCTTATTTCCTTCTGCCTGTTTCTTTCCCTCCATCCTATTCGTGTAGAGGAGTAAGGGCTAAAAAGCTGACACATTCCCTCTGAGCCCATCCCAAGTCTGGTCTGGCCCTGAGTCATCTCTTGCCTGGAGTATCCAAGGGTTGGAGAACACCCTATGCCCTAGTCTTTTATTTCCATGCCTCTCCCTCTGAGAAGGGAGCCAGCTTCCCTGGACCAGGCACCCCAGCCACGCATCCTAGCTAAGAGGGCTGCCCTACCAGTCCCAAACGCTTGGCGAGAAGTTTAAGGTGGAATCCTGAGGACTTTAAGCTAAACTCTTATTTTCTGCCTTGAACTTGGGCCCACTCACCAGTATTTGCCTAGAAGACAGCATGGTGAGTATTTCCCAGAATTTATAGGGCTTCCCTTTCTGTTACTGATTACACACATAGATGGAACGGAATGCCTGAATGTAAGTCCAGGACTTACAAGTGGGACTTTAGCAGGCACTTTGTCCCAGTGCCTTCCCAGTTCAGGAATTTCCTTCACACTTGCCTTGGCATAAAAGGTCAGCTAGAATCTTCCTAATGACCAGGAGCCTTTTATTTCTAAAGACGACCCATTTTCTTTTTTATTTTATTATATTTATTTATTTATTTATTTTGAGACAGGGTCTTGCTCTGTCACCCAGGCTGGAGTGCAGTGGCCTGATCTTGGCTCACTGCAACCTCCACCTCTTGGATTCCAGCGATCCTCCTGCCTCAGCCTCCCGAGTAGCTGGGATTACAGGCGTGCACCACCATGCCCGACTAATTTTTGTACTTTTAGTAGAGACAGGGTTTTGCCATGTTGTCCAAGCTGGTCTCGAACTCCTGACCTCAAGTGATCCCCTCACCATGGCCTCTCAAAGTGCTAGGATTACAGGTGTGACATTACAGCCCCAATTCTTTTTTAAATAAAATATTCTTTTTTAAATAATAATAAAAATTGAGATACAATTCACATTGCATAAAATTAACTGTTTCAGTGTGAGTTCAATGGCTTTTATTAATAGTATGTTCAGTCCTGCAACTATCACTATTATTTAATTTTAGAGCATTTTAGTACATTCTTTTTTAACCAACTCAAATTCTTAGCGAGCTCTTTCCTCTTGAAGGTGGGAGGGGGAAAAAAAAAGACCAGACCCACCAAGTGGTGGGGAGGAGGTGGGCACTGAAACCCATCTTCTCTACTTCACAAGCTGCCCTACTTGGCCCTTCACCACTGCTATGTAGCTAAGACCACATGTGGGCGTGTGCGGTTGTTGGCTTTCCTCCCCTAAAAATGTGTTGCCAAAATCACTTGTTTTCATTCTTGATGGCTGAGAAAGACAGTACAGCATCTGGGATTGATTCTCTAGGATTCCCCGGCATCTCTGGCTGTTGTCCCATGTGGAGGTGGAGCCTTGGCAACCCAGGGAGTCCCATAGCCTGCAGGTGTGGAGGGAGTGGGCGATGGTGCGGGAGCCTCCAACCCTGAGGTAATTGGAATGTCATCTGGCAAAGCAGGACACTTGCTCCATTTTCAACAGGATTTTGAACTTGCCTGGACTTCAGCAAATGTGAGCTAACATCGTGAGCATTTCCTGGGAATTCTGGAGGTACACGAAGGAATTCTGGCATCTCCCTCCTCTCCTCCTTCTTCTTCCCCACCTTTTCACTCTTTTTTTCTCCATCTGCCCTTTTCCTTTCCTGTTTATTGCCTTGTCCCCCCATTTTCTACTCCTTCTCTCACTTTCTTCTCTCAGGTCCTCTTTCCTCCTCCTCTTCTCTGCATTCCCCACCTGACTTCTGTTCCTCACTCCCAGGCTTCCATCCTAGAAAGGACCATGTGGTCCCTCTTCTGTTTTTGTGCCCCACTGTTTCAACATACGTGTGCCATATATGTTGCCAATGACTCGAGGACACACCAGCAAGCTGACCCTGATCAGAGCTCTTCTTAGATGGTTGGGTCGGGAGGGGGGTTCCAGAGACTAGTCAGCAGAGGCTTGTCAGTGATAGTGTCCTCCAGAAGGCCATGGTGCCTCCTGCACTTTCACTTTCTACCTTCCCCAAATGTTAATGTTTCAGACCAAAGAGGACGGGGGCCAGGGTCTGTCATGTTTGGGCCATCTGCAAGATGACCTATAGGGCTTTTTTGAGCTGGCCAACCAATGTGAGATTTGGGGCATCATAAAGCCCTCTAGGGAAGGAAATTCTGGAGGTAAAATTTCAAGAATCACAGTTTTTGGAAGGGTAAGAGACCAAAGGCTTTTAAATAGGATAAAGAAACAGGCTGGGCATGGTGGCTCATGCTTATAATCCCAATGCTTTGGGAGGCTAAGGTAAGAGGATCTTTCGAGCCCAGGAGTTTGAGACCAGCCTGGGCAACATAGCAAGACCCAGCCTCCACTATATATATACACACATATATATGTATGTGTATATATATATGTATGTATATATATATTTAAATTAGCTGGGTGTACTAGCACACCTACCCAGCTACTTGAGAAGGTGAAGTGGGAGGATAATTTGAGCCCAGGAGTTAAAGGCTACAGTGAGTTATGATTTCACTACTGCACTCCAGCCTGGGTGATTGAGCAAGACTCTGTCAAAAAGAAAGAAAGAAAGGCAGGGGGTTGGGGGGAGGGAGGGAAAGAGAGAGAGAGAGAGAGAAAGGAAG